TTGCCAGGCAGGCGCTTTTGCCGCTGAGCTAAATCCCCAGCCCCCTCCTGCTCTTGGTACCTCTCTTCCTTGCCAGTTCATGCTGTGTAATCCCCTACACTGCAGTTGTAGTGTACCACCATGTTAAGGTAACTGTAAAGTAAAAATAGTTTATTTACAGTATTTGTGTGTGTGTTTGGTGTGGTTTTCTGTTGGTTTGTTTTGTTTTTTTGTTTTGGTTATTTGAGACTGGGTCTCACTGTATAGTTCAGACTGCTCCTGAACTCACTATGTAGCCCAGGCTGGTCTCGAACTCGAAATGATCCTCCTGCTTCAGCCTCCTGAGTGCTGGGACTACAAGCGTGAGCCACCACACCCAGCTTTTTTTTTGGTGGTGGGGGGGGTTGAGTGTTTGGTGTTTGTTGTAGTTTGGGGTTTTGCGAGGGGAACAATACAATACAGGACACATATTTTATACAATTATTTTATAATAGTCTCCCAAAGAATCATAAACAAAGAGTGCAGGAAGTCTTTCCACACGCTAATGACCAAAGAATCCTGCTGAGGGTCTAGGTCTCACGGTAATGTCCTGCATGAGTCCAGCTGAAGACCCAGAGCCCAGACAATGCCTCCCACAAGTCCAACTGGAGGCCTAGAGCCCATGACAATGTCTCATGCAGGTCTGTTTCACAGGCCTGCACTGGAAAAGCCAAAAGGTGAATGAATGTTGGAAGCTAGGAAGTCTGTGCCAGCAGAATGAAGGATCTGTGCTAGCAGGCTGAGGGATCTGCCCTGGGCCAGAAAGTGACACTCAAAGTAAGGACCAGAGCTCCCCACAAAGTACCACAGCCGTCCTCAACAACGGCGAGGTCCCGAGCTCTGATGATGAGAACAGCCAGGTTCCCATGAGGAAAGCCAACGTGAGAAGCTTCCCCAGGAGACTGAGCAGTGCACCATCTTCCCCTCTACAGCCAGGAAGCGATGCTCGAAGGGAGGACCAGAGCTCCCCCAAAGTGAGCCAAAGCCATTCTCAGCAACAGTAAGGTCCCAAGCTCTTTCAAGGAACAGAACAGCCGAGTTCATCAGGAAAGCCAACATGACGAGCTCCTCCAGGAAAACCAACAGCTCCCTATAGCTTCCAACAGCCTGTCTTCTCCAGTTCTGCCTCTTACGATGCTGGCAACAGTCTTCAGGTGGGCCTCCCACACCCAGCACCACACTGGTTCAGTTCAGCTGGGTGTTACAAGTTGGCCACCAGTTGTCAACCCCCTACAGTGTTTTTATGCTTTACGTTGCATGTTTGTGTCAAAGGTGTACAAGATCCATTTTGTCAGACCTAGGAAGGAATCTGACCTATGAACGTTTTCCCAGAACAGAATTCGTTCCTAAGTCAGGGACTTACCCTATATATATTTTTTTCATTGATGAAGTCAGGAAAAGTGTCCAAAACATGAAATGGGCAGGAGAGATGACCAGGTGTCCTTCCAGTGGGGTGCTGGATTGGGTGCTGTTTGGTAGAACTTCGTGAGATTATCTGATTCTGAAGTGTCTGTACCCTCATGGACATCCTATTGACTAGGCTATTTTCCAACTCTATGGGTAGAAGTTAACTTACAGGAAACTGAGAATAACACAAAAGAGTCTTCTTGTCCATAGCAATAAAAGCTAGAAACATAGCATGTTTTATAATAGAAACATAAGTGATTCTTCCAGGTAAAAAATAAACTCAATAATTACCTTGTCCTGTATGATACTAACTAGTTAACCAATTTGGCTTCTATCAGCAAACACATTTTATCAGAACTTTGAGCCCCACTCACAAAACTCTGGGAAAGAGGGGCTGGAGATAAAGCTGTATAAAAATTCCTGAACAATGAGATTTGATACTTTCTTCAAGCTGGCCTTAAACTCATTATGTAGCCCAGGCTGTCTATGAAGTCAAGGCCATCCTCCTGCCTCAGCCTCCTGAGCACTGGGATTACAGGTGTGCAGCACCACACCCATAATGTGATTTGATAGGTCTGGGTCTCAAAAGTAGGGGAGATGCTGGGAGGGTGTTCAGCCTAGAGAGGGAATGGAAGTTCCACTCCACCACCATACCTTGCACCTCTTCACCTGGCTGTTCGTCTGTATCTTTTATAATCTCCATTGTAATAGATATAAGTGCTTTTCTGAGTTCTGTGAACCATCCTAGCAAACTCCTGGAATGGGGACTGGGCACCCTAATTTATACTCAGTCAGTCAGACAACCTGGCACTTGGCATTGTCATCAGAAGTGGGGGTGTGGGTTTATGGTACAAGTGGATAGGTATTAAAATTGAAGTGAATTATAGGACACCTAGCTGGTATCTGCTGGAAAATTGCTTGGTGGTGTTAAATCTAACTAAATTTGGGCCAATCCTATGTACCAAACTGATGGAGACCACTATGAAGCAGCCCTAAACAGGGCTTAAATTACCTAATTGACTTTCCATATTTGCTTGTGAGTCTGTCCAAGGCCTAGGCCCCTAGGTCTGGAGATGGGCTGTGGACTCATAGTAAGTGAACCTCTGTGAATTACTCATCCCTACTGAGGCCTGTAATGGCGGATGAAGCTGGAAAGCCTCAAAGGATAAAACAAGATCACAGCCATCTGGATCTGATCTCAACAAGATAAAGACTGCAGCCTCAGGCATCTCACTCCTGGGTGAATTAATTTAATTCCTTACTTGGAGAAGTCCTTCAGCGATTCTGCCCTCCTTGAGTACTCCGCTCCCTTCTTCTGATAATAAATACAGGCCACCAGAGAAGGTCTTGGTCTTAGCCCTGAGAGAATCCCTAATTCTGTGAGAGGGCTTTGATCCTCACTTCTTTTTATTTAGCTTAACTGTACACTCTTTCAGGAGACTGTGGACACGATCAGTCTGCAATAACTAAGGGATATTATTAACCTGATATGAAACTGTAGTTTAATTTAGTGTGTAAACAAGCTGAAAACCAAACTGAATAATGTGCCTTTGTAACAAATAACTGAGTCAGCCAGTCCCAGCAGCTCAGCCTCAGTCAGCTGCAGATGGCCAAGTGTTCATGCCATGTTTGTATAAGACAGTTGCTAATCTGGAGCCAATCCAGCTATCTCTGTGCCTCACTTCCGTTTCTTGGTAGCTCACTTCCCTTTTCCTCTCTGAGGTTACCCAGACACATGACACTGCTGGAGTCTCCGTGAACCTCTTCAGGTTAAGAAGGCTGCCCGCTGCCCAATGTACGGTTTTTTGCTCAATTAAAACAGTGTAAATTTAATGTCTAAATTCTTCTTTTTAACAGTGCATGGAAGGAAACTCCCTGACATCTGATCACCAGTGTTCTGTTTGGAGTGTGAGAGTACAAAAGGAAAAAAACAATTTGGTTTTTTCTTCCCCTTTCAAACACATACACAGGCCCAGCTGAATATGCAACAGTGCTTTTAAACAGGAAAGCACGCCATCAGGGAGCCAGATAGCTTTGAAGAATATATTGGATTGGCTTTGCCACATGTCCTTCACAAAAATCCCCACCAGGGGGGAAGGAAGTTAGGGTGAAAAAATAAAAATATGTATAACTAAAATATGCACACTTCAGGTTATTATTTGTACATATTAATGTAATGCAATGTGCAGATTGTAGTTTATATTTTAATTCAGAACCGCTGTGTAAGAATCAGAGAAGAAAATGCAAAGCACATTTTTTACCAATTCAA